ACGACTCTAGACGAAAAAAGCTTCGTGCCGGCGAGGATGAGGAATCAGAACAAAAACGAGAATAGCTTCGTGCCGGCGAGAATAGTCTTTTTTGTCTCTTTTCAAGCAAACTGTCAAACAAGTGACTTGCACAAGACTTTAGTCCTTAAATTTCCTCCAAAATGGGATAAACTTCAACCATTAGCAACACTAACATCCATTTTTTTGCATAGAATGTATGATTTTGGCCTAAGAAACAAATTATTTTTTGCTCAATCCACTATGGAATCAAAGAAATTGTGCCACCATGTATCAGAAGATAGATTTAAAAAAACCAATACATTCACATTCAACAGACTCACTCACATCAATCAACTCAATTCACAGGATCATTCACAATCACACATGGACTAACCTCTTTTTCAAGTTTCACAGTATCTTGACCCAATTCAAAGCTAGTAACAAAAAAAAAACACCAAAAAAACTTATCAACTTCAATAGTCAATATTCAGCATTCAACAAGTAAGCATTGAAAAACTGAAGAAATTGTTTGAACAAAGCATAATTAAAGAGGAATTAGCATCTGGGTAGTGAAGAATTGATGATACCTGATGATGATAACTGAGATTGATGCAAAGCGTTTCACTTCTAAGATACCGGAAATGGTGGCATAGCTAGAGGAAGACAGGGGAAGCTCGTTGTAGGTGTACTGGAAGGAGTTGATGGAGCGAAATTGTTGTTGGAAAGGGTGTAGACAGTGGGGGTGACCAACGGAGGCTGAAAAGCTTCGTGCCGGAATTTCGTGGGTTTCGTGGGTTTCGTGGGTATTCTGAACATGGAAAAGAAACAGTATGAGTATGACAATCAAACCTTGAAGCGATTTTCTCCTTTGAACTCTTCGATTTACTGGAAATTATACAATTTGTTGAAGAGGAATGAAAGGATTCTTCTTACCTGAAATGGGTTTCGATTCGGAGAGGAAAGGTTGCGAAGGGTTTGTGTTAGCACTGATAACCAAAATACCCCACCTATGCCAGCGCTTTTTAAAAAGCGCCTTCATATCCCCCACCTATGCCAGCGCTTTTAAAAAAGCGCTTTCGTATCCCCCACCTATGCCAGCGCTTTTTAAAAAGCGCCTTCATATCCCCCACCTATGCCAGCGCTTTTAAAAAAGCGCTTTCGTATCCCCCACCTATGCCAGCGCTTTTAAAAAAGCGCCTTCGTAGGTTTCCCTTTTTTTTAATTTTGTTTTTTGTGAACTTCATATCCCCCACCTATGCCAGCGCTTTTAAAAAAGCGCTTTCGTATCCCCCACCTATGCCAGCGCTTTTTAAAAAGCGCCTTCATATCCCCCACCTATGCCAGCGCTTTTAAAAAAGCGCTTTCGTATCCCCCACCTATGTCAGCGCTTTTAAAAAAGCGCCTTCGTAGGTTTCCCTTTTTTTTAATTTTGTTTTTTGTGAAGGCTATGGCAGCGCTTTTTCAATAAGCGCTTTAGTAGAGGCGCTGCAAAAAGCAGTTTTTGGCGTAGTGATATTACTTCTATTGAATAGATTAGCTTGAGGAGATGTCGTCCTTTGATCTTATCTTCTAATAGATTTTGAGATGTTGATTAGATGTGAGTCCATAAAACCTTTTTTTCTTTAATTCTTTCTTCTAATAGAATACTTCTGATGTTGAATGAAAATACGTATTCCATGAAATCTTCGAGTCTTCAGAATCTAGACTTTGTCTTCAGAAATATGAGCAGTAGTAACTCTTCTGATAAGCAAATCTTGACTTCTGATCTTGGAGTAGAATCTTTCTTCTCCTACACTTTGTGTGCCTCTAGTTCATGATAATTTCTTTTATATTAATTGTTTTTTTACGAGGTGAATAATTTATTAGTATTTCTTTTATATAGTACTTGTTTTTTTACAAGGTTAATAAATTATTATTGTGTATGTTTGTCAGTCACATATCTTGGATGCGGAGAAGCCTTTTATGCACAATAGTGTTGCAATGGCAATGAACAAACTCATGGGGGAAAACATATGGATGACTCCATGGAATCTCAATGCCATTATGTACCCAGAGTCCCCTCTTCAGAAGTATAATTATGGACCAACTCACTCTTTCAAATGTGAAACACACGTTAAAACTTCATATCCTCCATCCAGATTAGCTCAAAGCGGAGTGATACAAGTTTAGAGATTTTGCACAAGACTCAGACACAATCGATGTTTCAACCAACCTCTCACTTGGTTGAGACTAAAATGCATTTTTTGGTGTAAACACCTTGTGGTCACCAAAAATATTGATGTTAATCTATAGAGTTTAGCTAGTGGTGATTTGTGATATACTTAGTTTTTTTTTGTAGTAGTGTTTAGACTGATGTGTAAATACTTTTGTGGTGTTTACTATATTTGAGTAAAGACTTTGTGATCACCACAAATATTGATGTTCAACTATAGAGTTTGACAGGGATGGTTTGTAATATAATATACTTGAGCATTTTTTTTAGGAGTTGTTTACTATACTTTTGTAAACACTTTGTGGTCACTACAAATATTAATCCTCACACAAATATTAATTCTCAGAGTTTAGCTAGTGATGATTTGTTATTATTACTATATTAAATTATACATTTACTAACTTTTTATTAATTTAAAAATATTAACTATGTTACTTTAATTTTTTACACATTCAAATATATTATTATAAAATATAATATTATATTATATTTTTATATTTGTAAAAGGTCTCGTAAATAATGGGCCACATAATTCTAAAAACTACATGTTGCAAGGGAGCTAACGCCATGGCGATTGACACCAATTTCCTTATTGTAGACGTTGTATCACCATATAACATCATTTTTGAGCGGTCGACTATCAACGCTCTAAGAGCAATCGTATTCATTATATATCTGGTCTTGAAATATCCGTTTTCTGATTGGCAAGTCGGTATAATCCAAAGAAACCAATAAACGGCTTGCGAGTGCTATGTGAGTATCCAGGAGACATCCATACAAGAGTTTGTCCTTGTTGATGTCCCTCTTTCAAAGTTTTAAATATTGACTCTCATCAGGTGACAAAGACACGTACATTTTTGTCCCTGTAGGAGTAGCGGAAACTAGTCAATCCACAACTACGAAAAACACAAACAATGACGGCTTCGAAATACATATAATGACGGTTGTATGTTCGTTGTTAAATAAGGTGTGATTGTATGTACGCTTGTTCTCATAACTGGCGTGTGACCGTTGTTATAAGTTAAGTAGTACGCTAGGTATAACTACAGTTGAATATTCCAACCGTAGTGAAATAATTCATAGGTCATGGGCGTATGAATATGTCTTGTCTCTTGGTGTCCTGACTCTAAACACCAAATTAAAATACTTAGAAATTAAAATTTACAGTAAATTTTGAATGAAGTAGGCACAAAAGTGTACACATAGAAATTATAACTTACAGTAAGTTATCTTGTTGTCTTGGCATGTCTTTCTCATATTCCTTCTTGATGTTCTTCATACCGCACAAGAATCTACACATAGAAGATACAAAAAAAGAGATAACGGAGAATCTGAGTAAAAACAGAGATAGACAATTATCCACAATATCCAAGGTAGTCCAAGTCAGATTCTTAATGCATAGTCTTCAAGGCAGTTTGTACGTTAACCAAGATTTCTTCTTATAACAACAGATGTTTGCATAACCATCTATATCACATTACTCTTTAGCTAAAATGAGTAAACATAAACAAAAGTAGTACTATAAGACTGAAAAGAGGAATTTTAAGAAGGAGATTACTAAGCTGGTGAAGAAACAAACAAAGGAAGAGAAGCAAAAGTCTGAGGAAGTATCGAAAGTTCAAAAGGATGAAGGAATAGGCACATTTGTTGGGCCCTCCAAAGTGGAAGAAGAGAGGATAAAAAATACAATGCCTTCTTAATGAATAAAAGAATTTCCTTCTCTTAGTATTTGTTGCCATTTATTTCCTTTAAGAACACCAAAATCTAAAGCATATCAACAACCCAATAATGAGTTTGTATTTACACAAAGTTATTATCGTAAAATCTGAATAAGAAATGAACATAACGAACAACAACTCAATACACATCACAATATTAAAAAAGAAACCCTAGCGAAGAAGATAAACTTTCAGAAAGCATAACCAATACCACAGAGAGAGAGAGAGAACAAACACTAACGTGTCATAATTTGAAAGATAAAATATATTTTTGCTATTTTGGATATTAAAACTTTAAAATAAAAAAATTATATTTTGAGTACAAATGGAATTCGATCCTAGTATCTAAACTTACTAGGCGTGATTCTTAACCTTTAAGCCAATGTTCCTTTTGTTTACAATATTTACATGTTAAATATATATTACATACTTACTTATTTTTTGAAATATTAATAAGTAGTCATGCCAACAAATACATGTTAACTACCACTCCAGCGTTAGCACATGCCAGCAAAACTCCACCAAAGGTTCCGTGATTAGGCCTAACACCTTCCCACAACATAAGTGAAAATAAATTAAGTGAGACCTATAAAACCATTGACAGCAAGGCATGCAATTATTGATGTCCATGATACAAAGTCCTTCTTCCCCATCTCTTCAAACACAGCCAATGCTTTCTCAACCGCACCACACTTGCAATACAAGTCAATCAAAGCATTTCCAACATAAATATCAACCTTCACATCATGTTTCCTGATATAGTCATGAACAGCCTCTCCAACATCAAGTGAGCAGATATGAGCACACACAGAGAGCACACTAGAAAAACATTATTTTATCCGACTTCACTTTAGTTTCCATCATTTCTTTGAAAAGCCTCACTGCCTTTGCAAACTGACCTATCATGCATTCCAAGAAACCATATTCCTACCATGCATTTGATCAAATACTCGTCTGGCCATATCAACCATATCGCGTCGTCCATACATATCAACCAATGTATTTCCCAAATAATCATCAACCTCCACCTTATTTTCCTCAATGTACTCAACCATGGCATAAGCAACACTCTACTCACCCAAAACAGAACAAGCCAAAACAACTTTCACCATTGTCACAACATTAGCCATCCTCATTGCTTCAAAAACACCCAAAACCTCCCTATACCTCTTACATCGACCATACCCATAAATCAAATAATTCCAAGAAACCAAATCCCGTTCAGACGTTTCATCAAACACCCTACACACAAAACCCAATTCACCAAATCCCGCATACACATGAATCAAAGTATTGGAAACAATGAGAACCGACTCAAACCCAAGTTTCAAAACACGAGCATGAACCATTCTGGTGCAGAAAACATGTGAAATACGAGCACATGTTTTGAGAAGAAAAGGGTAAGTGAGATTGCTACCAATTAAGCCTTGCCTATACATGAGGTTGTAAGTGTGAATGGCTTCAATGGGGTTGTCGGTTTGGGACCAACCACGTATCATTAGATTACAATGGGATAAAGTGGGTTTGTGAATTTGGTGGAAGTGGTCTTTGACTTTGAAGATGTTAGTGGGAGAAAGTGCGTAGAATTTGAGAAGGTTGAAAATGGAGGAAGGGTCTGTGAAGAAGTAACAGCATTGTAAATATTGTAAACAAAAGGAACATTGGCTTAGTGGTTAAGAATCACACCTCGAAGGTTAGGTACTAGGTACGGATCCCAATGGTACCAAATAGATAACTTTTTTCAATGTTTTACTATTTAATTTTCAATGTTTTACTATTCAAAACAGTAAAAATATATTATACCTGTAAAGTGAACGACATTTGATTTACCTGTAATAATTATAAAAAAATAAAAAAATTGCGTGTGGAATTTGAAAAAACAATTAAATTAAATGTCACATAAGTAGGGGTTAACTTAGAATTTTTTTTTTGAATAATCAGATATTAAAAAAAAATTTCGCAAATAACCACGTTTCGGAAAAAATTACACAAATAATCATGTTTCAGATGACTCTCCAAAAGAGGAGTCATCTCACTCGGCGCCTCCACTAAGAATTTAGCCTTAGGCGACATCTCACTTGGCGCCTCCTCTCTCTTTTAGCCAAGTGAGATGGCGCATGCACTTTAAAAGTGAGAGGACGCGCCATCTCACTTGGCTCTTAGGGCAAAATGTTGTTTTTTATAAATAATTCGTCCGTTTCTCCGTCATTTCTCACACTTTCTCGCACTGTTTTCTTATTTTTTACTCTGTTATTTGCGCCATGACATCGCCCATGATTTTTACCAGAGATGGTTACGTTATCTTCTTCGCCACAAAACCTCCGATGAAAATGAAATTCTGGAACATTCACTCCATGAAGCGTCTGAAGCGGGAGTTGATGCGATGGCTAGATGGAGACATCGTGGAGGGGGAAAAAATTCGAAGGATCCAGCGAAGACGAACATCAACCTCACATGCGACAGGAAGACCTAATGTTTGGTTGGAGGAAGTCAAAACAGACAGCGACGTAGTTTTGATGATGCATGGGTCAGATGATATTATTTTAACAGTTGTAATTTCGTAGACGAAATATCGTGTTTTTTTCTTGTACGCGCAATGTTTATTGTAGCAAATACTGTTAACGAAAACCCTAATGTTTACAACATAATTAAGGAAAAATTTTATGTAATACAATTTTTATGTGGTCGAGGCAGACGCCCGATTCGTACAATTTTTGCGATTATGTCTGACCTGACGGCATAAACCACACTTTCTTTCCAGCTTGTCAAGGGAGTCCATTTCGGTTGTGATGCGCTTACTTTTGGGACGATCCTTTTTGTTCCTTCGCATTTGGTCATTGTGCCATACTATTTTGCCGTCGTATGCAAGCCAATAATCTGGTTTTGCTACCAAAGGGAAGTTGTTGTTGTAAATATTGAGCAATGTTTCAGATTTGTAAATGTGTGACAGAAGTTGTAGCGCGTCTTTATGGGTATAAGCACACGCGACAATGACATGAGAGCAATGCATACGAAATGCTTGAAACTTGCCACAATCGCACCAACGAGAAGGTAGTACAACCCTATATTCTTGTCTTGGAAGGCCCTCGTTGTGGTCGATTGTCTCTTTCATAATGAAGTTGTGGATGTGTCGGTCAAACCGTATAACCATATAGGTGTTAGCTTTGGCACTTTCTGCCTTAATGTACTTCATGCAGCTTTCACTCCATAGTTGTCCAGATTGCAACACCGTATTCCATATTTCACCTCTTTTGGCAAACAACGAAGCCATCCTAAAATACGTAGGTTTTACCAAAACAGTGACCGGGAGGTTTCGTATGCCTTTGAATACCCCATTCATCGATTCAATTAGATTTGTTGTCATGTTCCCCCATCTTTGGCCATTATCGTATGACCTAGTCCATTTTTCTATCGGAATATTGTCGATCCACCTACCGGCTTCTGGATTTGACAAATGGATCTCGTTGCGGTAATATTTGAATGTGGGTTGTGTCAATGCATATCCCACATTCATAACCGTTTTCCTTAGTGTTTTGTCCTTGATCTCCCTCGTGAAATTTTAGACGATATGTCTAACGCAATAGACATGCGTAGAAGGAGGGTCATGCCAACTGTTTGTAGGATTATTGTATGCACTTTCAATGGATGCATGTCTATCCGAGATCAAACAGAGATCTGGTTGAGGAGCCACGTGTGTTCGCAGATTTTTCATAAAAAAGCTCCAAGCACCACCGGTCTCCCCCTCGACTAGGGCAAAAGAAATTGGGAAAATGTTGTTATTTCCATCTTGTGCAACTGCCATCAGTAGCGTGCCTTTGTATTTCCCATACAACCAAGTCCCATCAATTTGTATAATTGGTTTGCATGATGCAAACCCTGTGATGCAAGGTTGAAATGCCCAAAACACTCGACTGAATATTCCATTTCCGTTTAGTTGACTACCATCTTAGGCGTATGCTGGCACTGTTTCTAGAATGTAAACAGTACCCGGAGAATAAGTCTGGAGTGCATTCAGGTAGCAAGGAAGTTCTTGGTATGACTCCTCCCAGTTTCCGTACACCTTTTCAATCGCCTTGGTCTTTGCTAACCATGCCTTACGATAAGACGGAGTATAGTTAAAAACCATAGTGATATGGGAGATGATGGTTTTCACCTTCAAAGATGGATCGTTGCTGACGAGTGGTATGATTTCTTGACAAATGAGATCGTAATTAAGTTTTTGACGGTCCTGTAATTGAGTAGAACTGACACAAGTGTGGGTAGATATGGAACCTATGACCCAACAATCACCTCTTAATCTGTATGATGCAGTGAGCATGAACATACAATCAGGGTGGACACACTTGATCTTGTACCTTTCTGGGTTTACACGGTCCACCTTAAAATCGACCGAGTTGAGCATGTAGAATTTTTTGATGGCTCTGATACATTCTTCTCTGTTACGAAACTTGTCTTTCTCTTTTAAGTTTTCATCTGACTGCATATACAGATTGAAAAATAAATCAGAAGACGGTTCATCTCCGCCCATGTTGAAGTTTGTCATGTGCGGAGGTGGTGTGTAGATCTCGTTTGCAAGAATACCAGGTATCCCATCGTCTTCGGAATCATCATTGACCATTTCGTCAAACTCTAACTCGTCATCTTCTTCTTCATCATCAACTGCATCTAACTCTGCTTGTTTGGTCTCCAAAGGATCAACCACTTGTGTCACCTGAGGCTCTCGCAGCATAATGTACAACTCAATAGAGTCGTACCCGGAATACTCATGACTGGAAAACATATTCTGAAAATCCTCGTCATCTTGAACCTCAACCTTATAAAATATTATTTGGTTGTTACCAAAAAAAACTGGATTCTGATAAGATATTTGTGTCACCGGGCCTCGTCCAAGTTTGGCCTCTAATCGTTTTTTGAAGTACAAGAAATTGGCTTTCCCGTTTAAACAAAATCAGATGTTGTCTGTGTCTCTAAACAAAAACCCAGTGGTGGGACAAATGTATGTCTCACCGTTGAAATGTGCACAGATGACATATTGGGGTGCAGAGGCCATTGCGTATGATTGTTTAAAGGTTTGAAGGTTGGAAGGTTTGAAGTTTATGAGTTATTCGAAGGTTTGAAGGTTTGATTGTTTGAAGGTTTGAAGGTTGGAAGGTTTGAAGTTTATGAGTTATTCGAAGGTTTGAAGGTTTGATTGTTTGAAGGTTTGAAGGTTTGAAGGTTGGAAGGTTTGAGAGATTAAGTGAATCAGTGTTTTGATAAATGTAAGACTAAATAGGTCATACTGAATTTGAATTAACTAAGGCTGTAACCTCTAAGGCTCCTCCCATCATGTCCAATAGTGTTACCTAGGCTGTCACCTAGCCTGTGCCTACTCTGCAACCCATGCCACCTCTTATTCGCCAATGGGGATGGCAACACCTTTCATTTTTGTACTCTTTCGCCAAGTCCAATGGCGCCTCCCTTCATGTCCAATAGTGTTACATGCATGCAGAGATGCCTTCTCCAAGGCTGCCACCTAGCCTGCGCCTACTCTGCACCTACACTGTAACCTGTAAGTCTCCTCCCCTCACCTCCAATAGTGTTACATGCATTCAAGCATGCCTTCTCCAAGGCTGTCACCTAGCCTGCGCCTACTCTGCAACCCATGCCACCTCTTATTCGCCAATGTGGATGGCGACACCTTTCATTTTTGTACTCTTTCGCCAAGTCCAATGGCGCCTCCCTTCATGTCCAATAGTGTTACGTGCATGCAGAGATGCCTTCTCCAAGGTTGTCACCTAGCCTGCGCCTACTCTGCACCTACACTGTAACCTGTAAGTCTCCTCCTATCACCTCCAATAGTGTTACATACATTCAGGCATGCCTTCTCCAAGGCTGTCACCTAGCCTGCGCCTACTCTGCAACCCATGCCACCTCTTATTCGCCAATGGGGATGGCGACACCTTTCATTTTTTTACTCTTTCGCCAAGTCCAATGGCGCCTCCCTTCATGTCCAATTGTGTTACATGCATGCAGAGATGCCTTCTCCAAGGCTGCCACCTATCCTACGCCTACACTGCAAGAGTGATACTTATCATGCATGCATGCACCAGCTACCACCTCACTTACTCTATGAAATTTTTTTGCCTATAAATACAGAGCATAACATACTTCTCTCGCACCCACAATCGTATCACTCTCTGCTACAAACTCTTTCATAATCTCTTACAATTTCTAAGTCTTTCATAATCTCAGGCATTTTCAACAATGGCTCTTCTCACAATGGGCGATTCTCACAGAGGCACAAGGGACAACATTGCAGCATTTGTAAGTTTCTTTTATAGTTATACATTTTTCATACTTCTGGTAATGCTTTGTTCATCTTACTTAATCTTACACCTTTTACATTATTAACTCAGGATACCAAAAGATTCAGAATCTGGTCTCACAACTACCTTGCTCCCGACCCATTTATCGTACCATATCTGGAATACGCAGGTTTCAGACATGTTATAAAAATCTACAACTGCGAAATTGATTCAAAGTTCATACTTGCAATGTTGGAAAGGTGGAGACCAGAGACCCATACATTTCACCTACCAATAGGTGAATGTACCGTCACGCTAGAGGATGTGTACATGTTACTGGGTCTCCCTGTCAACAGTAAGGCCGTTAATGGGTCGGTTCAACAACCCAATTCTCTGCGTGAAAAATTGTTGGGTAGGGATATGGTTGAAGGTGGTGGTGCGAGAGGTCATGGTATACTACTAACTGAGCTTAAAATTCATTATGCGACTTTGGAATTAAACGAAAATTCCTCCGAGCAAGACAGGGTAATAAAAGCTAGAACTTATCTAATGATACTATTTAAAACCTTTTTATTTCCCGAAAGTATGGGAAATAGTGTAAATTTTATGTATTTAAATTTACTAAGAGACTTCGAAAAAACTAGAAAGTATAGTTGGGGTTCTGCTGTTTTAGCCCATATATACAGTTCCTTGTGTAAAAATGCAATCAAGGAAAAATGTACATTTTATGGCTGCACTTTTTTACTTCAAGCCTGGGGTTGGTGGAGGATGGAGTCCCTAAACCCCGTCAACAACAACACATTCGTTTTCCCGTACGTAACAAAGTAAGCCATCAAGTTATATCATTTATTACTATTCATATCTTCACCAAATATATGATAAAAATAAAATATTTTTCATTTCCTTTAGGTATTGCGTGAGGGGTATGGATTACGGCAAGATTCCAAGATTCAATGTCACACTATACCGCAATCTATTGGATCACCTAAGCCCGGATGATGTACGTCGTACCTTTCAATTTTTCTACTTTTAAATTATTTATATATTACGTTTTCATTAACTTGATTTAATTTTATGCGCAGTTTGTCTGGAGACCATATTTGGGTTTGGGCCATGAACCAAACCCCGAGGATGCAGCAATTTGGAGCGCCAAGACTGCAATCATACGGTTCAATATTATGGAGATACACCATAGCGACCGTGTGAAGATGCAGTTCAGAATGCATCAAGAGATACCCAGGGATCTGACTTGTTTGTCCCTGTGGCATCTCAAAAGGGTCGACGCCCAATGGGGTCTTACCAACTGGAAAGACTTTGCTCCAGAATGGTGTAAGATGTGGCAGAGGCGTCATCGACATGTCTTGTAATTCCCAGTTTTCCTCAATCATGGTAATATGTAACACACGGATCAATATTTATCTTGGTACAGGTCGGTTAGTAACCCTGAAATGCACGTGTCTCATCCAAGGTATTTGGTTGACCCACGAACACAATGGGCATAACCCTCGTTTCCCCAACAACAAACCCAACACACATCAACCTCCCACCAACCCCTCAGACGAAACAGAACCACCAACACCCAACCACAGTCGCCACCATATTACAATTACACCCAAATGCCCCACAACCAACCACAATCACCACCTCAGTACCAATACCCCCATATGCCTCACACCCAACCGCAATTCCAATCACAATACCAACACACCCACATACCCCACACACAATTTCAGTCTTCTGTATATCCCATAATGGGCCCCTCAACATCCAACCTTAGCCCTGATCTGGGAATGTCAGAAGATTATAAACCAACCGACCCAACTTACCATCAACCACAGTATCACCAAATCACCCAACATCCTCAATACCAAACACCCCAAGATCTATTTCCTTTCTACCCCCCCCCCCCCCCCCCCCCCCCCCCCCGTACTCAGACGATCAATGCTACAGACCAACCATGGAACCCCACCCACCGCCAACACGACCAAACTTTGAGAGTATGGGTAACCGACTGTACCAAAGCGGATCTTCTAGATATGGAGATCTGACTGATTTCATGGATACGGAACGCATTGAC